TCTTGGTCTCTACTTGATCCCTGTCCCCCCTTTATAGGCCAAACGATTTTCAATCACCCACCACATATTAGCCCCCGTTAATTGTAGATCCTCAACTCAGGCCCCGCCGCCCCTATGTCCAAAAAATTCAACACAACCAAACACCTTGGGTTCGGTGGGGGGGGGGGGGGGGGGGCGGAAAGACAGGTTTGAGAAGCCGTTGGAGAAGGTCAGAGGATGGGAATGAAATGGAAGGTAGTTGGGGGCGAGAGTAAGGAGTGGGGATGGTTTGTTGAGAAGGGGTTGAAATGTTTCGGGAGGCAAGTATATCTCACTTCTCAAGACGGAGGAACGGTAGGGGGCTTTGAGAGGAAGTGCAGCCATTTCTCGATGAATAGGTAGTGAGAAATACTAGCAAGCTTCAATTTTGTCTACGCAAACTGAGAACAAGACGTTGCGCCCCTCCCTCGATGCTCCTAGGAGCGAGATGGATGACGGCGATGAAGGCGGATATCCGTGCAGTATCCAGGAAATGAAGAAAGCGGCCACCAAAGCGATGGGAGAGTAATAGCGTATCATCAACGGCAACGTGGTCGCGACAACCGACATAACGAACTCCCTCGGAAACAGACATGTATTGGGTTGCGTATAAGAAGTACGGAACCGCCCCTTCCATGTCATCCGGCAAGCCCTTAGTATTAGTGCTCATCCCAGGGTGTGGTGGTATTCTCGGTTCCAACACGAGCAACAGGTTCAGGATCTAGCGAGAGTGTAAAACAACTTACCCCTGAGCTTAGGCGTCGAAAAGAGAAGAAAACAGAGAGTTAAGTCAACAAACCTGCAAGAACTCCCGCAGTTCGGACGGGCCTTGCCTCTTACTCGATTTGTTTGGAAAGAAATATCCCCCCTGATACACAACATGGCATGTGATTATGGTGGCATGGACCACAATGCACCCGCTGCTTGAGTGCCCACAGGCAACTGACCACTATCCCCTACCTCCTTGAGAGGAACCTCTCCCCCCCAAAACATAGTACTTTGACCGAATCGCTTCCAAGATCTTGGTGGCAACTGAGACATGCGGGCACAGTTTCCGAAAGCTTGATACATGTCAAGTTACGGAGTATTCTAGCAATCAAACAGAAGATAACCCCATGTATACCCCCGTTCTCCCGTCGTATGCACATATCCAAGTCCCTCATAGCCATTACATCATTCCAAGCCCAAGCCCAAAAGGTATCCCTCCCCCTAGGACACACACCCACCTCCCCTTTAAACAACCACCGCCACCACCGCCGCCACCACCAACCCCAAGCACGCCGGCACACCCAACACAACCCCCGCGTTAATGCCACCAGGACCATCCCCACCACTCACGAACCCGGTCGGCGCAGGGGAGAAGCCACCACCACCCACCGACTCCGAGGGCTCATCATTCGAACCGTCACCGCCGCCGGTGCTACCATCATCACTGCCGCCAAAGCCGGACGACGTGCCGTCGTCGCTGCCGTCGTCGGTCGGGGTGGGGAAGGTCTCCTCCGAGTCGGTCGAGGTGGGCTCCGGGGTCGACGACGAGCTTGGCCGGATGAGCGTTCGGCTCGTGGTGCTGGCGTCGTCGTCGTCGTCGTCGTCGTCGCCGCCTGAGCTACCGCCCGAGCAGGTGCGTCCGTTGCGGCAGCAGCCGCCGGGGACGCAGTAGTAGCCGTCCTGGAGGAAAAGGGGGATTAGGGGTTGGGTTCTGGGGGTGGGATTGGGTTTGGGGGTGCTTGCTTACCCTGCAGTACTTGCCCAGGCCGATGCTGCAGCAGGTGCCGTCGCTGGGGATGCAGTAGTCCGAGTCGCATTCCATTCTGCCGGCGCCGCAGGTGTCGCTGCCGCTGCCGCCGCCTCCACCACTATCTCCGCCCCCGCCGCTGCTTCCGCCGCCCGAGGACGGGGAGCACTTGTTGTCGCTCGTGCAGGTGTAGCCCGCGTTGCAGTAGCCGCCCAACGGGCAGCAGACGGCGCCCTCGGGCATGCACCTAGGGAGAGAGTTAGTGGGGGTTAAACAGTAGTGAGGTAGAGGAGAAGGTCTCACCTAAGGCCACAAGTCTCGTAGCCAGGAGCGCAGCTGCTTCCGCCGGCACCGCGGCAGGTTCTCTCCATCCTGTTCGGGTTAGCAATCGTCCTCGTTGTCTAGCTCACGTAGGTGGGAATACGTACCGGGCAGCAGCCGCTGGTGGGCATGCAGTAATATCCGGGGTCGCAGAATGACTCTCTCTCCAAGTCTATCATCGGTATCGTCAGCAAGAACTCGCTCGCGGTGTGGTACTGAGAAGAGAAGGGCACTTACGCAGCGCAGCACACGCTGGCCTGCGACCATACACCTCGAGCCGCAGGATTCTTCGTTGGAGCGGCAGCTGGACTGACGGACAAGCAGCCAGCGGGGTTGGGCGAGGTTCTTGACGTTCGCTGTCGAGGACGTCCAGAGCAGTTGCCATCAGAGCACGGGTTGCGACTTCGGCGAAACGCATCGTGACGGTCTATTATTCCACGCAGAACTGCTGTGAGAGCTTGCGCTGCTTGGTTCTTCAGACTGGGGGAACCGGGGCTTGAACAAAACAAACAGAAAAACACGGCAAGCCACCAGCTCCGAAGCAGGGCAGCAAGCCGGAACTTTATCCCCCCCTCCCCCCCAGTTCCCAGTCCCCAGTCCCCAACATTCCCATGCGGCTCACAACCCCAGTTCAGCTCCCAGCAAAGGCAAGCACTAGCAGCCCTTGGCATATGCAACCCGACCTCAGCCCGACGCCACACCTAGCCTAGTCGAGAATGGCGGCTTCGAAAGAGACACACCGATAACTGCCTTGACACCGAGCACTCCAATCGCTCCCTGGGAAGCTCGGCTCGTGTGTGCTGGGCCGCGGCCGTTTTGGGCTCTGCCCATGTGGCGAGGGCATGACTTTGTAGCAATGAGGGCATCAGACCACTCAAACCGACACACTGCTATGCAGTGTAAATGCAACCCAACCACATCATCCTCTCGTTCCAGTTTGCTCGGCGAATCGAAACCCTGGCAGGGCGCAGGTTTGAACGTGGCACCGCGATGGTCCAACGACTTTTGGAGATGGTGTACGAAGTACAGCCATGGATGTCACGGGATGAATTTGGGACAGAGGAGGCGACAAGTCGACAAATTGACAAGCTGACAAGGCTGTGATCGGCAGCTTCTCGTCAATCCACAAATATATTGGAAATGCCTTTGGAATGGGCTGGCCTACCCCTGCGTCGGCTAATTCTGGGATCCCGTGAGTGAAGGGAGGGTTCTGTGTGGTGTGACGGGATTGAATTGAGCCGCATGGGAGAAAAGCGAGAGATGGCGAGGTTCTAGCATGTCTGAGGTTTTTCCAGGGATGGGCTGGGGAACCAAAAGCTTGGCGTATCGTTAGGCTGGGGCTGTGCCTGTATTTCGAATGCGGGGGTGGGTTTGCTGGCGGGCACGTGGGGCAGGAAGGTCCAGATTTCCATCCTTCCAAGAAAAGCAACAACCGTGTCAAGCAAGGACTGGAGCAAAGGAAGGTTGAATTATAACATATTTTGAGCAGGAGAAGTCAAACAAATGGCATAAAAAAAGAAAGGAGAAAAGAAAAGAAAAGAACGAGCAAGCGAAAAGCCAATCAACCTCGTCGAGATTTGGTCGAAAGGCCCGAGAATTCGGTTTGGTTCGAGGTAGAACCTCCGTCAGAAGTTTGTTTCCTCGACGTGCACAACCTCTACCATCTGCCTGCCCTGGAAGCGGGTGGTTATGTCTGACAGTATGGGCCAGCCACCACCTTCGTCGCGCCTAGATACTAGGGGCCCTTACACCCCCACCTGGTATTGAACCACCGCGCTCCTTGCCTGGGTTCCCGTCTGGCAGAGTATACGATATATATCATCAAATCTTCCCCACTTACCTCGTCCGCGATACAAAGGCGGAACGGAGATCGGGGACCATGGGTTTGGTCGAGCCTTCCTTCTATTGGTATTGGTCGCCGTCACAGCGGCCGTGGGCTTGGATGATACAGTTGGGCCGCCGCGATGTGCGAGCAACAAGCGATCTGCAAACAACAAAAATCGGGATGATCACCATGTATACCACAACATCGCAAGTTGAACCCTCCTCTTCTGACCCTGGGTTCCTCGCGAGAACACCACCAGCGGACTATAGAGTGGGGATCAACACCCCGAGACCGCGGAATTCCTACTTCTTTCCTCGGAACATTCGCTCCCTCCGGCCTTTCCCCGCCGACGCCGCCAGCTCCGCCTACGCCGAGGTACTCCAGGCTTCGGTTCGTGACCTGTTGCAGGAGGAAACTTACGACTGGACCTTAGTTTCTATCCTCGGGGTACACGACTTACGTACTCCCGGGCCGGTTCGGCCCACCATCCTCATCATCCTAGCCCACCGCTCGATCTTGGTTGGGCAGGCGACAATTCTAGTTCGCCGCGTCCTGGATATACAGAAGCAGTAAATCTCCTACAACTCTTCCTGGAAATTCTGGAAGTGGAATTACACGTCGTTAACACGCCCTGACCAGGTTGGGAATTCAAGACCTATATAATCAACCTGTACAACAACGCCAATGACATTGAGAACCTTTATTTCCCCGACAGACTTTTTCCTGGCTCAAACATCGGCAGCGCCAAATCGGGCGCAGCTGGGACTCTCGGCTTTTAGCTGATGCTTGAAAGTCCTAAGCTCGGTGAACACTACTTTGGCCGCTACCTGTCATCATGTCTGCTCGGGTATGTTTTGGTCTTTTTTTTTTGTTTCGAAAGATGTGTATTAATCATCGACATAGAGATGGCCGAGCCGCTCAAGGCCTTGCAGGTTGAGATGGAAGCACCTGCCTCAAGTGTGCGGGTACAAGGTATCGCCAAAATGATGGAGGCGCGGGCGGCTGATGATGCTGGTTTATTTGACGGCGGCCCCCATCCCGCCAGCAATCCCATCCCGAACCGTATAAAGTTTTATAACTCCCACCTCGGCCCGGTTATACTTAGCTCGGGCATAGGTAAAACTACTTCCGTTGCCACCGCAAATAATTTCGTGCTCCTCTATCCGCATCCAGTCCGTTTCCCCGAAGAGCTCAGCCAGCTCACAAACGTTTGTACTCTTCAAAACCGAAGCATTCACAACTGCTAACTCACAAACCACTACAGGATCCTTCACCATCGACACGCTCCCTTTTGGCAAGCAGAGGTCATCGTGCTGCTTGGGCGGACGCAGAAAACAAGGTCTTCAAAACCGGCGCAGCCACCGGCACCACATACGGCAAACTATCCACCATCCAAGCTGACTTCCGCTTCACGCGGGAGTTCCCCGATGCCGCGCTCGTCTCGTTTGTATCCACGGGGCTCGTCGTCGTCGACGAGACGCCCGACAACCGCTTTGCCAGCCACGGCGACTCCGGCGCCGTGATCCGCGACGGCAGAGCCAAGATGCTCGGCGTGGTGTGGGCGGGGGTCGGACCTGGTCGCGAAGACTACGGCGACCTCGCTTTGATTGGCGCGAGTCACTGGTCCCTGCGGCTCTCGACCATCACGCTGTGTCTCCCCATGGGGCCGTTCCTGCGAGCGATGAAGGCCGAGGTCGACAAGGCGTTGCCGGGCCAAAATGCGAGGCTTTTCCCGCTGCCTAACTCTTTTGGGCCCGGCATTTAGCTTCTATGGTTGGTGCTGCATGTTCTGGATAGCGAGAGCAGCGAAAGGGTGGGTGGGTGGTTGGCTGAGCGTGATTTTTCTGTCGGTATCATATATATGATATTAGCCAACCATCACATGCGCACATACATATTCCCGAGTGTTTAGCATTCCAGGAATAGATTTGAGAGAATTCCTTTCCAACTCACTCCAGAACGCGTTTCTGCATCCCTTCATCTTAACAAATCCACTCCCTCTTGAAGAATGGTTTCCCGTTCCCTGCGTACGTGACACACTCCCTTCTCCCAGCCCCCAAGCACAAGTGCAAGTCGGTGGCTCAGTCTCAATCGAGACGGCAATTAACAAGTCAATTTTCTGGAGGGAAGGTGTATGGATGGGAGGGGGAGAGGTCGTGTTGGGATGGGGCGGGGGGTGGGGGGGGGGGGCAGGGATGGTCGGTGGAAGCCGCGGTCAAAGCTGGAGGCCCTGCGTGTGTTTGTGTGTGTGATGTTTCATTTCGCTACTTGATGCCCTCCGAGCCAATCCCTCTCCGACAATGTCATCGACCGCAAGCCTCTCCCACAACCCCAGGGCCCCTCTGCCTTTACACTTATGACTGGGTCAAGCCAAGTCCATCGCTACGCAAGTTAACGAAAGCCCTCGCTGAGGCCTCTCCGAAACGATGAGACTGTTTTCAGATTCATACAAGATCATGTGCAAAGACCGCCGCTTTGTCCTCC